CCGCAGAAAAAAAAGAGGCCCGCCATTTTTTCAAAAAACGGGGTTTTTCCCCCCCCCCCCCTTTTTTTTTTTTTTTTTTTTTTTCTCTCTCCTCTTACACGGCGCGGCAGGCGCGGGGCCCCACCGTGCCTTCCCCGGCCGGGGTCACGGCGGGATCCCACGGCGCGGAGATACCCCTGGGACCGGGGAGCACGGGGCAGGGGTGCCCGGGACACAGGGACCCTCCGCTCCGGCTCCCGAAGGGAAGCCCCGTCCCTCGGTAAGCCGAGCCCCGGCGGCGGCGGCTACTGCCCGCGCAGGGGGTCCGGGGCCAGCGCGGCTCTTTGCGCCCAGGGCGCACACTCAGCCCCGGATGCCTTTTCAAATTTGGCGAGGTTGGTCCGACTCCGTCAAAGGGGGCGTGGGGTTTCGGCGTTAACCCTTGCCAGGCCTCGCAGCAGACCCCGCTGCGAGGGGGCTCTCCCGTCGGTGAAGGCGGCCGGGCACCCCGGGGCACTGGGCCGGGCCGGGGGAGGCGAGCCACGGCCCCGCACGGGCACGAAACCCACCGGGGCAGCACGCTGGCACCCGGGCACAGCTGGCAGCATCGCCCCGGGAAGTCCCAGCTCAACAGCAGCTTGGGGTCCAGCTACCCCCCATCAGCAGGCGGCTCTGAGCACACCCGGGGTGCCCCAGCCCCAGTCCCCAAACGTGAAACATCACCAGGCCCTGCATCCGCCCGATCAACCAAGAGCCAGTTCCAGGGGAACCAACCGCACCCCAAACACCCAAAAAGCTGGTGCCCGCTGCCACGTTTGCACTCTAGAAGCTACATAGATAAAGTAGGGAAAAAAATAATTGTAAAGATGCTCCATTCACAAGGTAACCAGTCAAAAAAGTAATCCCTGCTTCAGAATGTGCATCCTGCTCATTTTGGCATCACACACAAGCACCCAGGGTGGCCCTGAGTGTGTAGAATTGCACAGTGAACCCCAGTCAGAGACAGGGGAATGTTTTTGCAGTCATGGAAGGATGGGGGTGCTCTGCAAAGGCAGTACCCCAAGAACAAAGCCAGCAGCAAGAGTCCCTTTCTCTGCAGCAGCTGAATTTGAGTTTAAAGCCTTTGTACATCCCCCATTTGGTGACAGTGTCACAGACCCCATTTGCTGACCTTTCAGTGTCCACTTCCCAGCTCTGGAGGAACCTGGGCTGTTGCAACTCACTGACTCAGCAAGCAACTCAACCAACCACCACAAGGCAGGATGCCATTTTTAAGAGGATAAGATAAGATGACACGATTGTGTTTCTAAGCTTTTACCCCTCAGATCCTGCAAACTCACAGTACTCCCTCTGCACCTTCGCTGTTTGTGCAGCCAAAGACAGCCCCAATTCACCACCAAAAGCAAATCTTGCTGGGTATCCTTGGAGCCTGGGCTTCCCTGTGGGACCCTGCAAAGGCAGAGAACTCTTCCTCTAAGGAGCAACATGATGCCTGCAAGATTCTGCAGCCGGAAAAGGATTCCTACAAGATACTGGGAAAACGGCCGGGTTCGTCCCCCACCCGGTGGTGAGCACCTACCCCTTCCCCCACCCGGTGCCCACCTCCAGAGCCTGCACACAGAGATAAATAGCCCCTGGCTGGAGCCTGTAACCAGACAAGTTTAGACTGCAAATGAGGCACCAGGTTTTTAAACAGCCGTTGTCATTAATCACTGGAGCAAATTACACAAGGAGGCAGGGGTGTGCTCCGCACCAAAGCTCAGCACAGCCTCCCTGGGGCTGCCCCACAGCTGCCCTCAGGGTGTCCCAGACCCATGGCTGGAGCAGGCAATGGATCAACACTCTCTGGGCTCAAAGGGAGCTCAAAAGGTCTGGTCCAACAGCACTGAGCTGCCAAGCCCACTCAGAAACAGCTGGTATTTATTTACAAAAATGCCTCAGTGCCTGGAACTGGGACGTAATGTGGCCCTCTGTCCCCAGCCTTGGCCCAGGTCAGCATGAGCCCCCTTCCCTTCAGTGTCCCCTCACCCTCAGGCAAGGGGAACTTCTACCCTTCTCATCTCCCACCCCCAAATATACACCCATCCCCTAGCAACTTACCCGAAGATGTTCAGCCACTCAGCCATTTTGCTCGGAGTCAATCCTTAGGAAACCTCTGCTCAGGCTGAGAGGGTAACAAAAAAAAGAGGCTTAACTCTCTATCTCCCCTCTCAGTAGGGCTACAAACTGCCCCAAATTCACCCTCCTCCTGGGAAAGCAGTCAGAAGCTGTAGCACACCTAAAACACCAGGCAGGTCTCTGAACCTCCCCTGCCCTTTAATCTGCGTGATCATCCTCAGCTGTGTGGGCACAGCCAAATTGGGTTCAGCTGGACGGTTTATGGCAGCTGCAGGCTGTGTGCTGAGGGCCTGGCTCAGCTTCCTTGTCCCAAACACACTACGTTGCCCCTCCTGACAAGCTGGGATAGACCGTTTAGCAGTATTTAATGGCACGAAACAGCACCATTGGCTTTCTGACCCATTCTCCTGACTTGGGTTAGCCTCTTCAGAAGCTCTTTGCAGTCTTCAAGTCTTAACTGTCCAAGAGCATTTTCTTTTCGGTTGTATGCAAAATTTGCTGCTTCAGCCTTCACTGACTTTGCAAGACCCTCGGAGATATTAAACATAGGTGATTAGACAAGACAAGATTCTGGCAAATTATTAGAGACATCTGTAGGAAGCTCGTATTCTTCCTATTTCATGAACTGAGAGACTGGAGACCAGAGGTCAAATGACTGCTCAAGATTGCAAAGAGCTAAAGGCAGAGCCAGAAATAGAGCTCAGATCTCCAGGCTCCCATTACTTCTGCCCTGTCCCTAATGTACACTTGCTTCTACTACATATGACTGATTTAAAATGAAAATGAAGAATTAACTTCCAAGCTGTTTTTGGAAAGAGAGAAGAAAGGGTGATATTGTCTACTGTATCGGGAGAATTAAAGATGACATTTCATTTTAGTCCTTTGGATATGCATAATATAATCAAACACAATAGCAGTAATAAATGAATATTTTTTCTCCCCACGGTGCTTACGAGTGCAACATATTCTAACAATTTCTCAAAACTATGTTGATAAATTGAAAACACAGTGATGGAGGTAACAAAGAGGGCCAACAAAAACATAATTCATTCAATTTATCATAGGGACTAGCTCTGAGAAGAGAACCCTTGAAATCTGAACAGTCCTATTCTTATGAACCAGACATACTATATTTCAAACTGTAAAGCTACACTTTTTATGCCTGTGCTTAAGAATGTTAATTAAAGATTTGCCTGGGCAATCAGGACTAAATAAATTATTTGGATGTATCTCACCAACTCAGTTCAAGGTGGGAGAGGCGGTGTGCAGACTGGGAAGCCACAATACATGGAAGCACAGGGGGATTCCATCCCTTGGATTTTGTGAGTGCCCTTTTCATGTGGGTACTAAGAGACCAAAGGAAAAGCAGCTTTGTTCCAGTTGATATAACCTTGTGGAGCTTTAGAATTACGAAGTGTCCTTTTGAAGTTAGAAAGAAGTCATTGATAAGAACATCTAAACCCAAAACTAATTTGGATAAATCCCTTCTAGCTTCCTAAGATGCCTAGATTATTTCATTGTGATACAACAAAGCAGCCAAGGAGCCTTGGAAAATTAGAAGAGATGGATATGAGCTTAGTAACAGTAAGAGTTCAAGATCTCTATTATAAACTAAACTACAATATTACTAAGGTTATTTTAACACATCTAGTACTGGGGAGTCAAACCAAACCTGAGCCAAGCTGAAAATATTAGGGGGCTGTGATGTTTTTTCTTTTAAGCTAGGAGGTAGCTACTGTGTGAAAATTTCCTGAATTTTACTTGAAATAAATCAATCACAGCTAAACTCAAAAGGGAATAGAGCTGAAAAAAACATCACACTTACACAAACAGTTTAGCACACAGTAAACATGAGAGACAGTGATATTGCATGAAGCAGAAAAAATGATCCAGAAGCCATGACTTTGGCAAAATTCACTAACCTTAGATGAGACTTTTGCCTGAGTGAAGCACTTTTGTGGGTATTATAAAGTAAAATACTGGATAAAATAACTCAGATTGAAACATAGTTCAGCAAGTGGAGAATGTGATGAATCGAGATCAGCAAGACAATGACTACGTCTGGTGGAATTCCACATACTCTGAGCATTATTGTGTCCTGGGAAGAATAATTTATGTCACCTTTGATGTCAGGCAACAATTCTCCCACCTGGACATGCACTGAAGCACAGATCTGCACAAGCACAGAGTTTGTGGACACACCTTGATCCATCAGACTCACCAAAAATGCAATAAAGCAGGGATTCACACAGGTCTGATAAAACCAAGGCACAAATAGCACCAGGTCTATTGCACTCAAACCTCTGGAGTAGAAACATTCAGAAGTAGCCAGGAAGGACAGCAAGTTACCTAGTCGTTCTTTCTTCTCCCTGCTAGAAGGCAGGATCTATATACAGAAATTATTGTTGGCACAAATTTTTCTGCCTTCTTCTGAAAGACCTCAAGACACAAACTCCCCCTGCTCTTCTGAAAACATATTCCAATGCTTTGCACTCTGTACTGCTAGCTTTTCTTAACATCCAACCTCAGTCTGGTTTGTTGCAATTTCAGCTCTTAATGTCTTACTTTCTCTATTATGGATGTAGAAAACTATTGCTCCTCTCTTTGAACAAGCTTTTAATTCCTCAAAGCACTTTTTAAAATGTTTTAACACTTCTCCTTGCCTTCTAGAAGCAAAACAATCCCAACTTCGTCAGGAGTCG